AGGGTTTTCTTTTTTTTTTTTTTTTTCACTAGTCGTCTTTTGGGAGTGCTGGATTCCTGCATGATAAATGTGCTCATTTGTGTATTTCATTTGAATGCTGTTGTTAACAGAGGAGCCTGGGTAGAGTAAGCTGGAACTTGCTTTGCTTCTGCAGAGGGTCTTTTGTGATGGGCTCTGTGGAATTAAAAGCCCACTAGTCGTCTTTTGGGAGTGCTGGATTCCTGCATGATAAATGTGCTCATTTGTGTATTTCATTTGAATGCTGTTGTTAACAGAGGAGCCTGGGTAGAGTAAGCTGGAACTTGCTTTGCTTCTGCAGAGGGTCTTTTGTGATGGGCTCTGTGGAATTAAAAGCCAAAATGGAATAATCACCCTGAAACTGTCTGCGATCCCCTGATGTTAGGCATATTCCTCAGGAACTGGTGTAAAGTCAGTCCATGCACTCATTTCAGTCTTCAGCCTTTAATTCTGCTGGGGAACAATACCGATTAATTTTGTCATATGGGTTTTATCTGATCTCTAGGTTCACTACCTCTCAGCGTGCAAAACTGAGACCGAGCTTACCATAAATGCGTTTGGCTGTCTATCATACCTGGCCAGGGAGCTTTTAGAGACTTGACACCGAGACGCATTTACACAGGAGGGCGGCAATGGTGTTTCAGGTCTTTGTTGGAGCTTCAGCTGTAGTCTAGCACGGTGGAGACAAACAGCTATCTGAATTGCGGTTGGAGGCTTGGATATTAAATTTGTGGGCTTCTTAGTCAAGGAATGCTACATTTGGCTCAATATCTTCGTTTTCCTTGCTGAGGAGTCCAGCCATCGCTTAAGGTGTCCCCTCAACGATTCTCTTTCTTCATTGAATTTTTCTCTCAGAGGCTCTTCTAAAATACTTCAAATGTTGAGTCATCACCTCTTGATTTGAATTAAGCTGTCCGTAGTAAACGGTCCGCTCCTCAAACCTCTGAAGGGTTCAATGACTTCATGCTTACTTTACATTAAAGTTGGACAATGTTAACAAATGTTCATGCCGTAGATGGAGACACAACTATTGTATTTAATTACGTGTTCTTCTGAGGATGGGTGTGTTGCAGAACTTCCATCAGGGTGCATGCCATGGTATGAAAGATGACAAATGCAGTTTGCGAAACCTTCCTCGCTTTTGAAGCGAACTTTAGGTTACCTGCTGGAAAAGGCTGCCATTAGCTAATGTAACATTCTTCAGCAGAAAAGATCTAGTGTGTGAAAACCCAAGATATTTAATCACCTGAGTACTAGGTGTCAGGCTTGACCTTGTTGCTCCTTGGGCAGTTACAGATGAAACTGCTAGCTCCAGGAATCCTGGATGTGACAGTAGTATTAACCAAAGATGCAGTGGCCTCTCTTAGATAGAGGCAAATAGGTAAAATGAGTGTGCAGGAGCTCTTGTCAGCAGTTTTTCTTTCCCCTTCAAATTACCCATGAAGCTGTTGGAAAATCTAACGTCAGTCCTTGCTGTGTCTTGAGCCTCAAGGTAAACTTGAGATCTGGAGACATTTTTTTTGGAATACGGTAATGTCAGCACTCACGACTGAGAACAGAAGCAGGCTGTAGAAATGCAAAGTCTTATGTTTTTCAGGAAGAACATGAGCAAGGTTTAGCTAGCTTAATGGCTTGCAGAAACCCCAAGTGTCTCAAGTTCTTGTCTGTAGTTGAAAATCCACATCTTCAAACATATTCTTGACGCCTTCTGGTTATTGTAGTTAGCTATCCACTGAACATTTTTTATATTTTTATATCTATCTATCTATCTGTATTTTTTTTTACTGTTCAATTGAAGTTGAATTTACTGGCAAGCTTTTGTTAAATTTGCTTTTCTTCCTTATCTAAGCACAGAAGACAGATGCATGTTTTTCCTGCTTGTAGTTCTCACATTTGTTGCGATGTCTGTCCATAGTTGGTGCACGATTGGAACCAGTTTATACCGAGTTTCCTGTACTGGGTCTGGGATTATACTTGACAGACCATTTTAACTTTTGTGTGGCAGTTGGTTTATTCAGAGGGCTGCTGTGTCAATAGGGGCTCTCAGTTGTATAGCAACTTCTTTAGACTATGGGAGAAATTAACGGTGCTTCTTCATCAAGAGAAGATACAGATATTAGTGATAGATCATTTAATTGATGTGCCATAGCCCTATTCATTTCATCGATAAGAATATGGTATGTAACATACTCTCTGCTTTTTTTCCTCACCAATTTACAGGGTAACTGATAGTGGAACCTTCACTTCCTACAATGGCACAGAGATCTGGACAGGAAGATCCGGAGAGATACCTCTTTGTGGATAGGGCTGTAATATACAACCCTGCCACCCAGGCTGATTGGACTGCTAAAAAGTTGGTGTGGATTCCTTCAGAGCGCCATGGTTTTGAGGCAGCCAGCATCAAGGAGGAAAAAGGGGATGAAGTGTTGGTCGAACTGGCAGAAAATGGAAAGAAAGCACTAGTCAATAAAGATGATATTCAGAAGATGAATCCTCCCAAGTTCTCTAAAGTGGAAGACATGGCAGAATTAACCTGTTTAAATGAAGCCTCTGTATTGCATAATTTAAAGGATCGGTATTACTCTGGGCTCATCTATGTAAGTACTAATTATTAGAATCATTATGGGTGCTAATTCAGCTGAACTGATCTGATTCCCATTCCTGTACTTATCTGAAGTGTAGGAAGCAGGTCTTGGCTCTGATTTCGATAGCCTAAATACTTTGCATCCCTAACATTTAGATTAGTCCGGGGTCTTTTTCCATGCAGTGTACAGGTCAAGAACTCTGTTGTCATAAAACAAATAATAAAAAATTCTCCTATGGAAATAATTCTGCAAGCATCTTTCAAAAATAGAATGCTAAATGGCAACCCTGGGTGCTTAGCTCATGCTGCTCGTTAGAGCACTTGCCTCAGACATGCTTAACTGATACAGTGAATAGTATCAAATGGCTTGTTTGAGCTGACGAGAGATTACAAAACCTAACTTTGCTGAATTACTGTTGTTTAATTGCTCATATGAATAAGCATAGATCTTGCTTTGACTTGCTGCGTATTAGAAATGATAATAAGAGGCTATGCTATGCTATTATTTAAAAGCTGAAGTTGGAGAGTGCTAGGAATGCAAAATGTCTTTTTGGAATCTAATATCAACTTAGTGGGCCAGGAAAGAATGTGTTCAAGTGCTTAAAATAAACCAATAAGATAAAGCTTTCTTTTTTCAGTGGTTTTGAAGCACTAATTGAAACATCTGGCTTATCACCATCTGTCTATAGAGTTAGAAATTGCAACACCATTGATGCTGCTTTTGACCCCGTTCCTTCTTTGAACAATATTAAATGAGTGTCTGTGGCATACAGTTAAGAGCAGCTCCTTGTCTCTTGGCAAACTGATTGCATAGTGACTTGTTGAGTCAGAGTATCATTAAGAGCTACAAGTAGACTTTCTATCTTAAAAGAAACTGGAACATCTGCTTAAATGCTTGGCTCATTTTAATAAACACTTGTTCTAAAGCTTAAATCCATTTTATTTAGTTCTGCTAGTTAGTTGGCTCACTTTCCCTTCCATCTAGGTATTAATGGGGTACCTCTTTTGCTTGGCCCTTGGTAATATTTGGACTTATTAAAAATTATATGCAACTTGAAAATATTCTTCGTATTTGTTCTTCTTTGTCAGTTTCCTATGCGGGTTTTTGGTTTTTACCCTTCCAAAGTCTTACACCAAGACCCTTACAGCAGAGCTCAGCGAAAAATACTTCTGGAATGATTTCTGCAAGCTTATAAGTAAACTAATTGGATAATTAGTACAGACTGGATTGAAAATTAAAAGTAAACAAGTTGATAGGTCAAAAGTTTTCAGTACATGTATCAATCATAATGCTAGTTGTTACGAAATTCATTACAACTGTTATAACCATATTTCATTATGAAGGTTAAAAGCTGAAGGCCTTAAATGTCAAAGCAAGCTCTAGTCCAAGGACCCCATACAGTAAACATGGCCACAAATGCTTCTGGAGGTTGGCGTTGAGAACATGTCACTCTTTTATATACACAGATGATACAGTACTGTTACTTTGGATGACCGACAAACTAAAAACCTCTGCTTTGTAAAAGGCTGGCTTATCGTATATGTGGAGTTTGTGGTACGCTATGGGTGACTTACCTTTTTTCTTCCCCCCGCCACTTCCCAAAAAGATGCTTTCTGCTTTCATGCTTTAACTGTTGAGGCAGACTCTAAAACTTGGTTCCTTGGCGTTGAGATACTGCTGTCCCATAGGAGGATTACTGCATCAGTATAGTACTGATGACCTCTCCCACCCTCGAGCTGGAAGAAGTTGGTTGGGATCAGGAAGCTGATGGATTTGTTGGCCTTGACTGGAGGTCTGAGTTACAGGAACGTTGCTGGAGGATGCCTCTGTTACCAAGAGTAATGTTTCTATGCAGCTGTAATAATGGCTTCTTGTTTGAAATTAAAACTCAGCTAATTTTCTGAAGTGGGGGGGAAAGCAGTTGTGAGTACTATTAGAGTAGAGGCTGAATGCTGCCAAAGGTCAATAGGCCATAGGGAGAAACTTCATCACTAACTTGAGCTGGTGGGGTTTTTAGTGTGGTTCTGGTAGGGATCTCTGTCCAAGATCCCTAAGCCTCTTGAATGTGGCACTATCATTGCTGCTGCCTGCTGCACAGCCTGGAGCGATTGCCATTGCCTGCGTAACCTGCGGGTGTTCGCTTGGTGTAAAGAAAAGAGCCAAAGTTAACTGAGCTGATGAAGTGAATTATGGTGGTTTGGCCATGACAAGAGTCAGTTAAAGGTATATTTTGATCTCCAGGTAGTACTCTCATAATAACCAATCCAAAATCTTATATTTGGTGTTGGTCTCAAGTAGTTAAGACGGAGGTGGTGAATGTGTTTTGGTTTCCTTTAATTCACAATAGGCAGCATGCAGTGTTGCCTTTCTAGGAAGTAGAAGATGAAAGACGGTCAACTGAAGTAGATACATGTTTCCTTTCAATCCCTAGAAAGGAAACAAACAAGCTGAGGGATTTGGTCAGTGGGTCTAGTCATCGGTCTATAATCTACCTCTTCAAGATGACACCGCTGGAGGAACAGGGAGGGCTGACTAAAGCTAGCTAGTGCCAGTCGGCATGACCTGGGCAGTGATGCTCATTTCATCAGGAAGAGTTTCAAGTAACATCTAAGTAGGGATGGCGAGGAGTTTCTGGAACTTCTAGCATTTCTAATGTCTGCCAAGTGGCATGATCTTGGCCTCTCAGTTGCATTATCACTGTGCTGTGGGAGATGAACACAAATGGAGAATTGGAAGACCAGCGGCTTGTAAAAGCATGATGTCAATGCTTGGTCCTGTTTTCATGTCTGGTCTGTTCATGACAGCACAGAAGATGGAAGGTAGCAGGACTTGTACAAGAACTGCTGGGAAGAATGGTTGGAGTGTAAACTATAGTGATCCCACTTTTGCTTTGGAGGTGAAATAACTTCATTTCTTGCTCCACTTTTACTATCACCTATCCCATTTCTTGCCACAAGGTTTATTTTGAAGCGTGTGTTAAAATTCTTTCCTAGAGAAGCTGTACTATCTTTGCAAATTCTTTTGAAGTATACTATATATATCTATTCACCCCTGAGGATGGGGCAAATCTATAATTATGACTTCTTGCACTTTTCTCCTTAGCCCATCAATGACTTAAGCATGACCCTGCAGAATCTCAGAGTCCCCGAGATGATCTCTGCTCATGTTTGAGGCTTGGTTTTCATCAAGTGCAAGTGTTGGTTCTGTGAAGGTGCAGCCATCTACAGCAGTTTTTTTCTCATTACTTCTACCTTTAGTAGGAGTTTTCACTCCTCCTTGTGTTTCATAGCTGAATTTTTCCAAATTTTGTGCTTTTCTAGGGATATCAGCGTTTCTTATGGCAGGGATGTATTATTTGAGTCACTAATACTCTAAATTGGTGTCTCCTGTCTTGCTGTAGTGGCAGCTTCTCATGGGTTTTGGTTACCTTAAATGCTTGTTAACTGTCAATTCTTCAGCTTCATATAAAGAATAGCTTTACTATTCTGTTTAGCTTTAGTTTAAAATAGCTTTACTGTTCTGCCTGCTGTGCTTTAGAGTGGCCAGCTTTAACGCTAGCTTCAGTGTGTGTTTAGTAATATCCTTCATAGCTGTAGATTAGAAACTGGAGGTAGTTCATTGTAAGGGTACCCAGGAGGAATACCCAAAGGCTTAGGAGGTCCTTGGAAGATTTGGAATAAACATAATTTTGCTCAGACTGGTTTTGTGGTGGTTCTTGAATATCCTTAAACCATGATGAACTGAGTTCCAGATACCTTTCGTGGGACATTGCTTTAAGAAAGGAGTCTAGTTGTCAGAGGTTTTGGGTCACCTAGGTCTGTAGCCTGAGTGAGGAAACATCTTTATTTCTACAAGACCTGCATGTAAAATGCCACTGTGAAGACTTCTACATATCAGCCCTAGAATTTGGTTTCTGCTTAAGTCATGTCACCAAATATGATTTCATGGGGGGGTGGTGGTGGTGGAGTCAAAATAATCTTTGAATCCGACAATGAAATGGAGACATCCACTGGAAAGAGTGGATGTTAAGGGTCCGTCAGCCTTGAATGCTACTGAGTTCTCAAGACCACTCTTGCCTTAAAGCTTTGTGACAAGCTGTGATAGGCAAGGTTACTGCTCCAGTAACTCTCTTTGTCATTGCTTCATGAGGTTCGGGGTTTCTCATGAACCAGCTTCCAAACTCTTCATGGTCCAATATGGTATCTGAATGTAGGAAGTCACTGATTTCAGTTTTTAAACTGCTGTGCTGTAAGCTGTAGAGGTTCAGGAGCAGTTTTGTTCATGGCTCAGAGGTTTGTGGTGTCAGTTTGCTGTGGTGGGGGGTGTGTGAAGCCCAGCTGAAGAAGTGACTTTGGCTGTCTGAGCTATAGCTGCCTCCTTCAGTTGGAGTCCTGGGAAAAGGGAGACACTTGAAATGGGTCTCTGGTTTTGGTGGGAAGGGATGGGAGATGAACAATAAGGAGGATTTAGTCTGAAAATAAAGTGCTGGGAGAACAGATGCTGCACTTGACAATATGGAGGGAAGAAATACTTAGGTGCTTTGATGGAGAGCTACAAATAAGGTCTGAAAGCTGCGAAGGAGTTTCTGGTGTAGGAAGAGGTGTTTTCTCCAACTTGATCTCTCTGCACTTCAGTATCAACAACGTATTGTCTTCAGTGTCTCTTCAGAAAGCTTATATATAGACATGTCAGTTATGTCCAAAATCAGGCTTCTACTCAAAGTTTACTACCCAGTTTGACTTACATGGCTGATCTGAAGGAAAGAACTGTGGCAATATTTTTTTTTAAAGTATTTAAGTTTTTTTTTTTACCATTTTGTTTTCTCTGTACTTGGAAGAGAGTGGCTAGTTAGTGTGCAGTTTGAGAGTCTTTCTTTCACTTCAGAGCAAGATGATTCTTTTTTTTTTTTTTGAACTCTGAATGTAAATTTTAGAGGGATGCTATATCACTTTGTGTGCAGTTTGAGAGTCTTTCTTTCACTTCAGAGCAAGATGATTCTTTTTTTTTTTTTT